GACGACGACGACGACGACGACGACGACCGACGACGACGACGTACGACGACGACGACGACGACGACGACGACGACGACGACGACGACGACGACGACGACGACGACGACGACGACGACGACGACGACGACGACGACGACGACGACGACGACGACGACGACGACGACGACGACGACGACGATGATGATGCCTTTAATGTTTTAGCCTTCGGTAATGCAAAAACCGTGAGAAACGACAACTCCTCCCGTTTCGGCAAATACATCGATATTCATTTCAACGAACAAGGCGTAATAGAAGGGGCAAAGATAGAGCAATATCTTTTAGAAAAGTCACGAATTGTATCCCAAAGCTTGGATGAAAGGAATTATCACATTTTCTATTGTATGCTAGCTGGCCTTTCTAAGGATGAGAAACAAAAGCTCGAGTTGGAAGATGCCTCTACATACAAATATCTCATAGGAGTAAGTGTAAGCATTAGTGTATTACCGATGGTTTCCTTCTTCCAAAGATAGATAAAAGAAAAGGAAAACGGGAAACGTTATATTTATAGATGTTTACGATATGAACTTTTAATTGCACACATTCGATTATTATATGTAATTATTGTTTTTATTTTCAGGGTGGCGGTATTACTTGCGAAGGACGCGACGATGCGGCCGAATTCGCCGATATAAGATCAGCTATGAAGGTTTTATTGTTCTCTGACGTAGAAATCTGGGAAGTGCTTAAATTGCTCGCGGCTTTATTACATATGGGCAACATAAAGTACAGAGCCACTGTTATAGGTATAAAACTTAATAAGAAAAAGAGAGAAACACATTCGCCGTCGCTGCCACCTCTGCGTGTTAATCACATAAGTTAATCACATTTCATAATTTCCAGATAATTTAGACGCTACAGAAATTCCAGAGCAAACGAATGTACAAAGGGTAGCGTACTTACTGGGAGTGCCGGTACAATCCTTGATAGATGCCCTCACCCGCAGGACTATATTTGCACACGGTGAGACAGTAGTAGGTATTTTTCAATATATAAAAAATTATAGAAAGTTCTTGTTTAAAAATAAACTGGAAACTGGATATTTTATGTTTCTATAGGTTTCCACGTTGTCGAGAGATCAATCAGTCGACATCAGAGACGCATTTGTAAAGGGTATATACGGTCGATTATTCATACACATTGTAAAGAAAATTAACGAGGCCATATACAGGCCGAAGAATAATTCCCGCAGTGCTATAGGCGTATTGGACATTTTCGGTTTCGAAAACTTCAATCACAACAGCTTCGAACAGTTCTGTATTAATTATGCCAACGAAAACCTCCAACAATTTTTCGTTCAGCATATATTCAAGCTGGAGCAAGAGGAGTACAATCATGAGGGCATCAATTGGCAGCATATAGAGTTTGTCGATAATCAGGACGCTTTAGACTTGATAGCTATCAAACAACTCAACATTATGGCGCTTATTGACGAAGAATCAAAATTTCCAAAAGTACGAGTGTCACTTTAGGAGAAATGTGATCTCTCGATAATCAAAAAAACAATCACTCTCAATGATCTATTTAGCCATTCGCTATTTCTAATATGATTCGTCAATTTTCAGGGCACGGATCAAACCATGTTGGCCAAAATCCATAAGACTCACGGTAGTCATAGGAATTACTTGAAACCTAAATCGGATATTAACACGTCTTTCGGCTTAAATCACTTCGCAGGCGTCGTCTTTTATGACACAAGAAGTTTCTTAGAGAAGAACAGAGATACATTTAGTGCGGACTTGTTACAACTTATTCATATATCGTCGAATAAATTTCTCCAAGTTTGCTTCGTCGAAGACATTGGCATGGGATCGGAAACCAGGAAGAGAGCTCCCACATTGTCGACACAATTTAAGAAATCGTTGGATTCGCTCATGAAAACTCTGTGTAGTTGTCAACCATTCTTCATAAGATGTATCAAACCAAACGAATATAAAAAACCGATGGTAAGCATTTGCGATATATCTCGACTTACTTAATTTTGTCCTATAGTAATGTATGATCATGTGACACTTGATTCCAGATGTTTGACCGAGGACTCTGCTGCCGACAATTAAGATATTCCGGTATGATGGAGACTATCAGAATTCGTCGAGCTGGTTACCCTATCCGTCATTCTTTCCATGAGTTTGTGGAAAGATATCGATTTCTTATTTCGGGCATTCCACCTGCGCACAAGGTGGATAAATCTATCGCAAAAGTCAACTTTTGTTAATTCGTGGCTGCTATCTCAGTCACTTTCTCACTGAATATTTCACATCCATATAGATTAAATATTCGTAACTTCATTAACTTTATTCATTAACTTCAGGTGGATTGCCGCACGGCGACTTCGAAAATCTGCCATGCGGTATTGGGTCGATCGGATTATCAGCTTGGACATACCAAGGTCTTTCTCAAAGATGCTCACGATCTGTTCTTGGAGCAGGAACGTGATCGCGTGTTGACGCGCAAAATCCTGATATTACAGCGCAATATCCGCGGTTGGGTTTACAGGAGAAGATTCCTCAGAATGAGGACGGCGGTGATGATTGTACAAAAGTATTGGCGGGGTTACGCGCAGCGTCAGCGATACAAGCGTATGCGAATCGGTTACATGCGATTGCAGGCGCTCATCAGATCGCGGGTGCTGTCGCACAGATTTAGACACCTGCGCGGTCATATCGTCGCACTTCAGGCAAGAGCCCGCGGTCACCTGGTACGCAAGATGTTTCGAAAAAAACTGTGGGCCATAGTGAAGATACAGGCACACGTAAGGAGGCTGATCGCGCAGAGACGATATAAGAAGATCAAATACGAGTATCGATTGCATGTGGAAGCATTACGACTGCGAAAAAAAGAAGAACGTGAACTAAAAGATCAAGGCAATAAACGAGCCAAAGAGATTGCAGAACAAAACTACAGGGTAAATACACAAATGATAAATATAAATAGATCAATTTTTACATCTGTTACTTTAAAAACTTTACTTTGAAGCGAATCGTGAAAGTTAAGTTTGCAAGTTTGCTCGCCATATATTGATAAAATATAGTATAATGATTGAAGCAAAATCGTATATTTACGCAAAAATATTGATTATCCATACAGATCGGTGTCCGGTGATCCTTTGATCGGTGTCAAGATTAGATCCTTTTACCAAGTCACAGCGATTTATGTAATAGTTGTCAACTGTACAATATGACATGTGTAAATTTCAGGAACGTATGCAAGAACTGGAAAGAAAAGAGATTGAGATGGAGCTAGAGGACAGGCGACGAATGGAAATTAAAAAAATTTGATAAACGATGCGGCCAAAAAACAAGACGAGCCAGTCGATGATAGTAAATTGGTTGAAGCCATGTTCGATTTCTTGCCAGATTCCAGCAGTGAAGCTCCAACACCAGCGAGGGAAACGTCTGTATTTAATGTGAGTCGTAACAACTCGATTCGTCACTGAGAGCCAGTTATAAAAGACTGTCAAGGAATAGATTGAATAAAATTGACGCGATTTCAGTTTGCTTAATATCTAATGGCACGGTGGAAAAATCTTAAAGTTGAAAATCTCATTTTCCTTTTCTCATATAGAGAAAATATGTATTATTATTATCGTTTTTTTTTCCGACAGGATCTTCCTGTACCGAAAGCCGATCAACACCAAGAGATAATTAGCCCGATTCAAATGGCCTCCGAGGACGAAGAGGATTTATCGGAATTCAAGTTTCAAAAATTCGCGGCCACATATTTCCAAGGAAACATCACGCATCAATACTCTAGAAAACCGCTCAAGCATCCATTATTGCCGTTACACACACAAGGTGACCAATTGGCTGCTCAGGCTCTGTGGATAACTATACTTCGGTTTACGGGCGATTTACCCGAACCGCGTTTCCATACAATGGACAGAGACACAACTTCAGTAATGTCAAAAGTAACGGCGACGCTTGGACGGAATTTTATAAGAAGTAAAGAATTTCAAGAAGCTCAGATGATGGGCATGGATCCTGTACGTGAAAATCTTTCTGTAATTAGTGTTAAATTTACATAAATTTTAATCCAAATGTATTTGTGAGAGGACGACTATTTTACAGTGAGACTTGTCCTTCCAGGAAACATTTCTCAAGCAGAAACCGCGTTCAATCAGGCACAAGTTAGTATCGTTAACTCTGAAGCGAAAAAACAAGCTAGGCGAGGATGTGCGAAGAAGATTGCAAGAGGACGAGTACACTGCCGACAGCTATCAATCCTGGTTAGAGGCTAGACCTACATCAAACCTCGAAAAATTACACTTTATCATCGGCCATGGTATATTGCGCGCCGAATTACGAGATGAGATATATTGCCAAATCTGCAAGCAATTGACCAACAACCCATCAAAATCATCACATGCGCGAGGATGGATCCTACTATCTCTCTGCGTCGGTTGTTTCGCGCCCTCTGAAAAGTTTGTCAATTACCTACGAGCCTTTATCAGGGAGGGACCGCCTGGTTATGCGCCCTATTGTGAGGACAGACTCAAGAGAACTTTCAACAACGGCACTCGCAATCAACCTCCGAGCTGGCTGGAACTTCAAGCTACGAAGTCAAAAAAACCAATTATGCTGCCAATTACCTTTATGGATGGCAACACAAAAACCTTGCTAGCCGACTCGGCCACCACGGCTAGAGAATTGTGTAATCAATTGTCCGACAAGATTTCGCTGAGGGACCAATTTGGCTTCTCTCTATATATCGCCTTGTTCGACAAGGTATCGTCTTTGGGCAGTGGCGGTGATCACGTGATGGACGCAATCTCGCAGTGCGAGCAATATGCTAAGGAGCAAGGCGCACAGGAACGGAATGCACCATGGAGGTTGTTCTTCAGGAAGGAGATTTTCGCGCCTTGGCATGAGCCGACCGAGGATCAAGTGGCCACCAATTTGATCTATCAACAAGTAGTACGCGGCGTCAAATTCGGCGAGTATCGGTGCGATAAGGAGGAGGATCTAGCGATGATTGCGGCGCAGCAATATTATATAGAATACCACACCGATATGAATGTTGACAGACTGTATACCCTTTTGCCGAATTATATACCAGATTATTGTCTGACGGGGGTCGATAAAGCGATCGATCGTTGGGGACACCTTGTCTTACAAGCGTATAAAAAAGTGAGTTCCCTGTCTTTACACAGGGACAACAAGAACAAATAAGATATTTTCGAAATAAAGCACGGGATAACGACAAAAATATTCCAGTCTCAGAAGCAAAGCGCATAGAATTCAGAAGCGTTTTTACTTTTATTTTAAGAAAGAATCCTAACTTCAAATTATTTCAAAACTTTGTCGTCGTTTAATTATAAAGATGCATGTACATACATTGTGCTAAATTCTCGTTCTTAGCTCGTACTTTTAGTTTCAACTTTTGATTTTCAGAGTTACTACTTGAAAGAGAAAGTACCAGCACTACGCGTTAAAGAGGACATAGTCGGATACGCAAAGTTCAAATGGCCCTTGTTATTTTCTCGTTTTTACGAAGCTTATAGAAATTCCGGTCCGAACTTACCGAAGAACGACGTTATCATAGCCGTCAATTGGACCGGAGTGTATGTTGTCGATGATCAGGAGCAAGTGCTTCTCGAGTTATCCTTCCCCGAAATTACCACCGTATCTAGTCAAAAGTACGTAATAGTGCAACTAAAATCAAGTGTCTTTAAAGAAAAGTTAAAAGAAAAGTTAAAAGAAATTTATGCGAGCGCGCACACACATGCGTGTACACACACACACACACACACACACACACACACACACACACACACACACACACATATATATCTTTTTTGTTTACTATTAATATTTCAAGATCAGATAGGATAATTAATTAATTATTAAATGAATAATTCATACACGCAATTTTTATTATATTATTAGATACAGGATTGGGAAAGTTACCTTGTAAATGTAAATGTAACTAATTACAGTTACATTTACATTTACAAGGTAACTTTACAGTTACAGTTCTTTCCTTTCAAAAAATAACTTGTTACCGTTATAAGTTACCGATTTTAAAAAATAACATGTTACAGTTGTTACGTCTAGTCCGGAGTAAATTGAAAATTGAGAATTAAGAATTAAAGTTTGCGAACGGGCTGGGCCCCGTTAATTTACGAAGGACTGGGCTTGGAAGGACGCGAATAGCTGCTCTCTCTCGAAGGCCAAGCGTGGAAACGTGATCCCTCGAGTACAAGCGCACTGATAAGTCTCAGCATACGAGAATGCTATGACGCTATTCCACAGACATGCGCTAGTCGGTCATTTTCTGGTCAAGAAACTTAATTCCTTAATTACCAGAGATAGATCTCGTGCGATCTCGTGGAATGGAGAGAATGAGACGAGGGGTTTTACGAGAAATAAAGAGAAATTAAAATTAAATTAAATGTTTAATGGTTAATGTTGTACATGTTTCCTTTTTGAGAAGCAAGAGAAATAATGTGGGCGAGTAGTATTCATGTATATTATCGCGGGTTACAATCGTTCGGCGGCCATCGGGTAGGATTTTTAGAGAGAGTGAGTGTAAGAGTATATTAAGCGATGATCCTACCCGGTAATACATTACAAAATATGTTCGGAAATAAACTTAAATTAATAAAAATGAAAATATGACATTATTCGATTGACGTGTGTGTGTGTGTGTGTGTGTGTGTGTGTGTGTGTGTGTGTGTGTGTGTGTGTGTGTGTGTGTGTGTGTAGTGTGTAGTAGTAGTAAGTAAG